CTGCAATTTTTGGAGCCTGTGGGCATCATCTACAACCCTGTGGAGTATGCATGGGAGCTGCATCGCAACTACATGATTTGCTTCTGCCAAGGCCCCAAGGAAGTGCTTTTCCTGGGTATGAACCCAGGGCCTTTCGGCATGGCCCACACTGGGGTAAGGGGCTTGGCTTCCCTGGCAGGTGGAGTGGGGTGGGGAGTGTAGGGGGTGGGGGAGTGGGAGTCCAGGGGCTTTTTCCAGAATCTCTGTGGACAGCCTGAGGTCTTCTTCCATCACTGCTTTGTCCACTGCCTTGGTGTGTGTGGAGGAGCATGTGCATGGCTGTGCAGGTCCCCGCCCCGTCCTCTCCTAGCACACACAGGCTCCTGTGGTTGCAGACACTCTCCTGGTCTCTCTGCCCATAATTAACCAAGCACATTAATGGTAGTTCTGATTTCCCCAAGAGCTGGCCGCTAATTACCTCTGAAAGCCCTTCCTTCCTCCAACTCCATCCTTGCCTTGCCGGATCTCCCCTGTCCCTAGTGTGTGGTTGAGGTCAGAAGAGGGCTAGGACTGCTGGGTCCTGAGAGGAGCCTGGCTGACAGGTGGGTATGGAAGACACGTGGGGCATTCCGGCCACCTGGGTTTCTTTCTCAGCTGGGGAGAGGTTCACAGCAGCACCGGGCTCCAGGGCCAGCCTGCCTGCCTCTCAGGGCTCAGGATGAGTGACTGCCCCTCGGTGGGGGTGCTTGGCATGTGGGGGAGGGGAAGGGTCCTCAGGGCAGGAGGCTCAGCTGCTTTTATTGACCCCAACTGGGTGATGAAAGGTGATCGATGATGATCGATGGAAATGACAGCCTGAGTCTTGGGGCTGGGAGGGCAGCCGGTGAGCGTGGTCAGCTCTGTCCTTGTGCCTCCTTGACTCTGGCTGCCTTTCTTTCTTGGCCATTTGTCTGTCCCCATTACTAACCAGTGAGACCCGTGTAGGGCTGGGTTTCTCATTGTATTCCCTGTGCTTGGTCCCAAAGTCTAGTTGGGGCAGAGGCAGACAAGTAGATTCTTCTGGGCCACAGTCTACAGTGAGGAACTGGAGAGAGATGGACAGGCTCTAGCCACAGGGCCCGGACTCCCTGTATGAGGCCTTCAGGTGAAGGTGAGGGTAGGGGCCCAGGCTGAATCCTCCTGGAAGGTGGGAAGGGGTCACTTAGGCGAGACCCCTGGCTTCAGGCCCCAGTTGGAAGCCCCTCACGGCTCTCTCCTTCCTCACAGGTGCCCTTTGGGGAAGTAAACATGGTCCAGGACTGGTTGAGCATTCAGGGGCTGGTGCTGACTCCTCCCCAGGAGCACCCTAAGCGACCGGTGCTGGGACTAGAGTGCCCACAGTCAGAGGTGAGTGGTGCCTGATTCTGGGGCTTTTCCCAGAACCTCTGTGGACAGCCTGAGGTCTTCTTCTGTCACTGCTTTGTCCATAACCTGTGTCCTCTGCTCTTCCTGGCTTCCAGCGGGCGCAACCTCACCTCTGCCGAAGCTGCCTGCCAGGCAGCGAGAACAGCTTCTCAGGCTCTGTGAGGCGGCCCTCTGCCGGCAGGTGCAGCTGCTGGGGGTGTGGCTGGTGGTGGGAATGGGGCGGCTGGCGGATCAGCGGGCACGGCGGGCTCTGGCCGGCCTGACTCCAGAGGTCCAGGTGGAGGGGCTCCTGCACCCTTCTCCCCGGAATCCGCAGGCCAACAAGGGCTGGGAGGCGGTGGCCAGGGAGAGGCTGGAGGAGTTGGGGCTGCTGCCACTGCTGTCGAAATGAGTGCTCTGGGACTGGATGGGACACCCAAGGCCTCTGAGTCATCCTTGCAGCAGATGCCAGTGCTCCTCCTGTGCTGGAGCAGAAGGTCCCCTGGGCTGCTGGGACACGTCTGCCTGGATTTCGGACCCGTCTTCCGACTACTGCGGCATTTTGACGCTACTCCTGCCCACCCTCCTGATCCCTGCTTTTTTCACTTCCTCTGAGCATCCTCTGTGGTGTCTGACGCCCGGCAGCCAGCAGGCGTGTGGTGTTGCACGTAGACTGCTCTACCTCGTTTCCTTGGCAGACTCTTCCGCGGAGAGCGACCTTGGACTTCTCAGGTCCTAGTTGGTGTTTTTGAGGAAATATCTTGCCAGGATCCCTGCCCGTTCTTCTAGAACAGCTTCCCGAGCCTAGACCTTTCCTCACAGGGACCAGGACAGAGCCTGAGACATGACATCACGAGCGAACTTCTTGTGGGACTGAGGCTAGAGCAGAGGAAGAACTCAGTGTGGCAGAAGGAGGGTCAGAGGCCCTGGATTCTCATCCCAGCCCTGAGACTCATTAACTTGGTCATGGACAAACTGATTGGCCTCTCTGAGCCTCAGGATCCTCTTCTGTAAGATGGAGGTGCCACCTCCTGGGGCTGGAGCAAGGTTTCACTGAGATAAGACCTGCAAGGGCCTGACGTAGGCCTGGCACGTGTGTGCTCACTACATACCTTTCTTGCCTTCTCGCCTCGGGTTGGGGGGGTCACAGCACTACAAGGGAAGCCCCTCTCCACTCTGCAGACCTTGCCTCGTGAGTCCAGGCTTCCACCTGTGGCCAGGATGGGGGCAGATTCCTGCCCTGCCAGACGTGGACAAATAACTATGAAAAACCCAGCCTGGAATTTTTTTTCCAGTCTAAGCATTAAAATCCCCTCAACCCTTTGTCTTAGTGCCTTTCCCCACTCCTGATTCTGCATGTTCGGGGAGGCAGTTGTGTAGAGTTCTTCCCCTTACCTCATTGTTTGCAAAGTATCCTCTGGGGTTGGGAGGATGTAGCAGGTCTCCCATTGCCTTATCAAAGCCGTGGGGCCTTCGGCTGTCCAGTAGCTTGTGTGATGGTCACGGCATCATGGGAAGCAGGTATGGGTGCTTGGGAGCCTGGTGGCTCACTCACTTTTCATGTCTGCTGGGTGGCTACGTGGGTGCCCAGGGCTGGGGAGGTGGACCGAGTTGGGAGCAAAGCAGATCTGGAGACCACCTGAAGGAGAAACACATGGTCTTCCCGTCTCCTGGGAGACAGGCTTTCTCCAGCTTCCAAAATTAATGAGATTTTTAGTCAAACCCTCCTTGTTCATTGTACGGTAAAGGACTTTGCCTTGTCTTCAGATACGGAGAGGGAAATGAAATCCTTGGAATTTCCCTAGTGAGGAGAGTGTGTTTGTTGTTCATGGTGGGTTCCTCAAACCTCACCTGAATTTCAGTTGCCATCTGCCCCTAGAGCACAGCCGAGTTTAAACTGAAATGTTGATCTGAGACTGCACCTGGGATACATGCTAGGATTTGACTGAGGATGGAGGCCGACTGTGCCAGAAAGACGGAGTGTATGGATAGATGGCTGGGACGCTGAGTTGGTGATGGCCACTGATCTCCAGGGAGGGAAGAGGGGCCAGAGGTTGAGTTGATCCAAGTGGCCTATGGTTTGACTCCATCATGCCCACAAAAGAAAACCCTGAGAAAAATGTCTGACACCACAGTCCTCTTCCTGGTTGGTGAACACATGGATGTGCTGGAAGGGTGACGTGCCCTGATTCTATGGGCAGAGGACACAGCTGTGTTTGGGACGCTCCCAGACCTCACCTTACAGCTTTCTTCCTCTGACTGGTTCTGATTGTGGTATCCTTTATAATAAAGTTCTAATCATAAGTGTAGTGTTTCCCTGAGTTCTGTGAAGTTCTAGCAAAATTGTCCAACCTGAGGGGGTTGCGGGAACCTTTGAACTAATAGCCATTTGGTCAGCAGTGCAGGTGGCCTGGAGACCCCTGAGCTTGGGACTGGCATCTGAGGGGAGGGGGGGTGCCTGTTGGGGACTCTGCCCTTGAACCTGTCGAGAATCCACTGACTACAAATGGTAAGCAACAGAGTGGCATTGCAGCATTGCACCTTTTCAGACCTTGAATTCCTTTCTCATCTACTGCCAGGCTGTGGTGCTAAGTGGTGAGTGGCCCATGTTGCAGCACTGTGGAGTAATTACACAGAGCTAGAAACCATTGTTTCACTGTATATTTAGCTGAGGCAGTCGGGGAAGGCTCTCTGGAGGAGGTGGTATTTCTTTTTTCTTATTTAAATTTTTATTTTTAAAATTATTTTTATTTTCATTTTTTGAGGCAGAGTCTCACTCTGTTACCCAAGCTGGAGTGCAGTGGCACGCCTGTGGCCACTGGAGCCTTGACCTGTTGGGCTCAGGCAATCCTTCTGCCTCAGCCTTCCAAGTAGCTGGAACTACAGGCATGCACCACTGTCTGGCTAATTTTTTGATTTATTGTAGAGATGAGGTCTTGCCAAGTTGCCCATGCTGGTCTTGAACCTGTGGGCTCAGGCAATCCTCTCACCTTGGCCTCCCAAAGTGCTGGGATAATAGGCATGAGTCACCTTGCCGGGCTGAGGTGGCATTTCAAGTGGCCTTAAAATGGGAAGTTTTGGAGCGCTTCAAGAATAGTGTTATGTTCAAGGGGTGGCGAGTAGATCAGTGCTGGCTTGGCACAGTTGGGAGAAAAGCTGGAGAGGTAAGTTGAGCAAACTTGTGAAGGGCCTTGAATGCTAGAATAATTAAAGTCCAGCAAGGAAAGTAAGATGCACAGGATACGCACACTGGAAACACCCAACAATGGATGGAAATCCACAGAAGGAGATACAGGGCCATGTAGGAGGTGGAATGGGTGCAGGAGGGAAGGGG